CCTTGGACACAGAGGGCATCTCAAGAGGTCCACCTTGGACACAGAGGGCATCTCAAGAAATCCACCTTGGACACAAAGGGCATCTCAAGAGGTCCACCTTGGACATAGAGGGCATCTCAAGAGGTCCACCTTGGACAGAGGGCATCTCAAGAGATCCACGTTGGACTCAGAGGGCATCTCAAGAGGTCCACCTTGGACACAGAGGGCATCTCAAGAGCTCCAGCCCCTCTCTTGATGCCTCTTCTCTTTCCTTCGGGCTTTGAGGTCAAGAGTCTGCTTCATGGACGGCCCTGAAGCTTTCTTGACAAAAGGAGGGGCCTCAGACTCTTCTGAGGTGACCCTCAGAAGACCACCCTACCTGGAAGGGCTGCAGACTGGGCTGCTGCTGTAGAAGTCCGTGAAGCGCAGGCCCTCGGCAGCCATCTTGTCCAGGTTAGGGGTGGCCGAGGTGGGGTGTCCATAGCTGGCCAGGTCTCCAAAGCCCAGGTCATCCGCAAAAATCAGGACAATGTTGGGAGGTTGGTAGGCTGACCCGAGGGAGGCCAGCAGCGCCACGGAGCAGAGGGCGAGGAACCAGGACGGAGGCCAGGCGGACATGGTTGTCCAGAAGGAAGCAGGAAGCCCGTCCAAGCCGCGAGGTCACCAACTTGAGTGGAGCGCCAGAAGGTGCAGCCCACAGCCTGCCCCACTGCTCTCCGATCAGGAGAAGAGCTTTCGGGACTCAACCGTCCCCGGAAGGGTCTTCAGTCCGAGGTTGACCCTCCAAGATCTCCAGAGACCCTGAGCTCGGTCCAAGGCTGCAAAAGAAGGGAAGACTCAGGACAAATAGCGGGGAAAAGACCCAGAAAACAGAGCAATGAAGAAAATTATGGGTATTTCAGGAGTAGGAAGCAGCCAGGGAACTGGGAAGGCCGTTAGGCGAGGTCCAGAAATGGGTTTCTTTTTTTAAGAAGAACACGAGATCCCCAACAAGCCCAATGGACTCAACCGAGGAAAACGAGAAGAACAATGGGGGAACATTCTAGAACAGAGATTCCCTACCTAAGGAGTCGGACTACGCCTCCCAACGTAGCTCACCCAGCATAGCCACGATGGGAGTTGTAGTCCACCTTGGAGGTGGTGGGTTTACTTTAGCCCCTCTTGAAACGTGGAAGCCGTTGGCCCCTGAGATGAGCCAACCAATTGCTCACCTCAATCAACCAGAATAGAGCTGGAAGGGACCTTGGAGGTCCTCTAGTCCATCCCTCCTCCGCTCAAGCAGGAGACCCTATACCATTTCAGACAAGTGGCCGTCCAGTCTCTTCTTTTTTTGAAAAAAAAAAAAAAACCCCAGTGATGGAGAACCCACAACTTCTAGTGGCAAGCAGTTCCACGGGTTAATTGTCCTCCCTGTTAGAAAGTTTCTCCTGAGTTCCAGGTCGCTTCTCTCCTTGATGAGTTTCCATCCGTCGTTTCTTCTCCTGCCTTCAGGGGCTTTGGAAAATAGGTTGACCCCACCTCTTTGTGACAGCCTCTGAGATATTGGGACACTGCTATCGTGTCACACACACACACACACACACACACACACACACACACACACGGTCCTTCTTTCCTCAAGTAGCACATGCAACACACACGAAACCTCCTGGCCAAAGCAGGAGTCCTTATGCCATCCGAATATTCTGTTATGCCAGACAAATGATTGTCCAATTTCAAACAGACCCATGAAACATAGAAGTTGTAGATTTCTAGGGATGGCAGGGTCCTTGGAGGTCTTCTAGTCCAACCCCCCCCCCCCCCCCAGCCAAGGCAGGAAGTTTTCAGGAAAGAAGCATTTTTCTGGATCTTCCATCCCAGAAATAATGCTTCTTTGCGGAAAACCTCCACGATCAACTCCCGACTCCAGGAGCCAGGCCGATCCGCCGATTAATGGTTCTCGCGTGTCTGTACGATCCCTTGTCTTGGCAGGGACCTCCGATCCCAGTTTCTAAGGGCCTGACACAAAGAAGTGGGGTGGGGGTGGGGGGGTCAAAGGATTTTCCAAAGGTAGAAGGTACCTGAAGGTAGAACAAGAAGCAACGAATGGAAACAAATCCAGGAGAGATCCAACCTAGAATTAAGGAGAAACTTGCTAACAATTTACGGACAATCAATCGGTGGGATAATTGATTTGCCTCCAGAAGTTATGAATGCTCCAACACTGGATGGTTTTAAGAAGAGATTGGACAACCCTTTGTCTGGAACAGTAGGGGGTCTCCTGCTTGAGCAGGGGGTTGGGCTAGATGACCTCCACGGTCCCTTCCAACTCTTATTGCATTATTTTGTAGAAGGCAAAAGCCCCCACCCTGAGCCCTCCAAAGGTCATGCATAAGTGTGACCAATGACAGGTAGCCTTCGACTTACAACCACAACTGAGCCCAAAATTTCCACGGCTAAGCGAGACAGCGAGTTTTTTGCCCCGTTCTACGGCCTTTCTTCCCACCGTCGTTGAGCAAATCACTGCCGTTGTTAAGTTAGCAGCACGGTGGTTCAATGAATCTGGCTTTTCCGTCGACTTTGCCTGTCCAAAGGCCGCCCCAAAAGGAGGAACTGGGGATGCAGTAGCCGTCGTAAGTATGAAGCCGTAGCCCAGGATCTGAATTTCGGTTATATGACCACGGTGAGGCTGCAACGGTGCTAAGTGTGAAAAATGGCCGTAAGTCACTTTTCTTTCTCCCCCCCCCCGCTTTGGCGTTGTAACTTTGAACTCTGATCTCTAAATGTCAATAGGTTTTTTTTGTGATAAAAGTTTTCTTATTTTTTAAAAAACAAAAATAACCAATAAAACCATCTTCCAATTCTACAGTGTGCCAGTTGGATACATATATCTTGTGCGCCTAATGATATTATCATACAGAACTTATTCAGTTACATTTATAGCCATTCTATCTTCTTTTTTGTTACAGAAACTTTCTTTTTTATAATGAATAAAACAGCGCCTGAACCTGAGTAATGTTTCCAACAAAAACTCCACTACGGTCTCCAAAATCAGTCAGGAGAGCGAGTGTCCTTTGCTTTCCAGCGATTCCTTCTCTTCCATCGTCAGCAATTCCTTCCCGGGGGAAGAAAAGTCCTTTATTTGCCCAAAGAAGGTTTTCCTTCGGCTGTTCTCCTCCTGACCTGTACGAGACCCAGCAGCCTAGTTATAGCCACTCTCATCAACGTTTTATATCGCGTTATTATAGCATCGTTAACATTAGAGCTGTTATCTTTCAAAAGTAGAATTCATCCTTACTCTCTCATTCAAAATCAATCAGTTATAAGATGTTATCGCTACTACTACATATTCCCACCCCACCCCCATGGTGTAACTTTGCATGGTCCCTCAATGTCGATGTTGTAAGTCGAGGACCGCCTGTGCAGCTTGGTCTGAATCCACAAAGACTCTCCCTGGCTGGGAGGGGAGGGGTCTCCATCCACCCCTTCCCCAAAAAGCCGAACGGATGCCTCACCCCCCCTTTCACGCAGAGCCTGGCTGCCACCCCCCCATGTCTGGGGCGGGTCCCCCAAAGGGCCTCCAGGACCCCACAGGAAGAAGCCCCGTCCGGCCCTTGAACCCCCCCCCTTCCCCGCCCAGCTGCGGCTCCACGGCTGCCCCCCCTCCCCGTGCCCAGGCGGACCTGATGGACCCCCAAACCCCGCGCCCCTGGAGGGCACCAGGTGGGCGAGGCGGGAGCATCGCTAAGGAGGACCGTCCCGCACCGGCATCCGACTGAAGGCAGGCAGGGTCCCCGGAGGTCTCCTAGTCGGACCCCCGCCGCCAGCCCGGCGCCCAAAGCAGGCGACCTCCGAAGCGAGGCCAGAATGCCTGGGGGGAGGGAGGGGATGCCCCCCCGCGCCCCCCGCGCCTCCCCTCCTCGCCCCGCAGCCCCCAACCCTGCCGCGGCCTCTCCTCCTCCTCCGCTCGCCTTGCCTGGGAAGCTCCGCGCCGCCCGCCGTCGCCGGCTCGAGTCACGCGGGGCAGCGGCGACCGGCCTTCCCGAGCGGGCAGAAGGGGCGGGGCTTCTCCGGGCGGAGGGGAGGAGCCTCTGCCGCGCTGGCCCGAGGAGGCGGGGCCACCGTCGATCCAGCTGCAGAGTGGCCGGCCCCGCCCCTCGGCCTGGAGGAGAGGGGGGGGGCTTTCTTCCCCCTCCGCCGCCCGGAGCCCCCGAAGCTGGGCACAGAGGAGGAGGGGGAGGGCCGAGGGCGGGTGGGGTGGGGCAGCGGGCGGGGCCGTCCTCTCTGCAGCTGGACCGACTTGCTGAACCCGCCTCTGGCCGCGGAGGTTCCCGGCCGGGTTCCGGCCAAGGCTTCCGAGCGGGCTCCCTGCTTCGGCTCCCCCTCGTCTGTCAAGTGTCGGGTTTCGGCAGCCAGGCTGAGAGAGAGAGAGAGAGAGAGAGAGCGGGCGGTTTTGCCCCTGGGGGGCGGCGGGGGGGGGGGGGGCGTGGGGGAGAACCGCCCGCTCTCTCTCTCTCTCTCTCTCAGCCCTTTAAGCCTGGAGGACTCAACCACGCACCGACTCCCAAAGACCCCTCCCCGCTTCCCCCCCCACGCCCCCCAGGGAAAAGGCGGCCCAGCCCGCGTCGCCAGGGGCGCAGAGCCGGGACCGACCGGCGAAGGTGGAACATTGCCGGGCACCGGAGGGAGGCAGCCCCGGGCGAGGCTCCTTAGAGGCTGCCTTCGCTTCTCCTCCTCCTCCTCCTCCTCCTCCTCTCTTCCCAGCCCGTCTGGAGCCGCCCAGGAAGCGCCCCGGAACCGGAGGAGGCTCTTTGGGGGGCTGGGGGGGCAGCAACCCCAGACTGGGGGGGGGAGCAAGGCGCTGCTCTCAAGGGGCGCCCCGATTCCTAACTCTGGGTGATACATCGCGGCCTCCGCCAGATGCAACTCGGGTTTATTAATGTCTTTATCAATTGACATTAATAGGATTCCTGATGAATAAAGTCCGTATTAATACCTCCTGGCTTGAGCACTTCGGAGCAGGAGCATTTGGGGGGGGGGGGGGCGAGGAATCACGGAGCTCATGTCATGTGCCAAGTCCTCACCCAGCATGTCCCTTTGTGCCGGGTGGTCCTCTCTTAATAATTATTCAATTCATGACATTTCTTTTATTTATACCACCTTTATTACTTTATCAGTACAGTACTTCCAGCCCAAAAGAAAGATTTGTGTGTGTGTGTGTGTGTGTGTGTGTGTGTGTGTGTGTGGTATGTAAGTATGTATCTATGTATGTATGTTTATGTATCTATGTATGTTTATGTATCTATGTAGCCCTGGGGTCACGTGATCCCCCTGTGTCACTTTCTGACAAATATCCTCAATGGGGAAGCAGGATTCACTTAGCAACTGTGTTACTAGCTTAGCAAGGACAGTGATTCACTTAACAACCGTGGCAAAAAAAAAAAAGGCCGTAAAATGGGACAAAACTCTCTTAACGAAAGTTTTTCTTCGCAACAAAAAATTTGGGCTCGCTTCTGGTCATACGTTGAGGGCTACCCCTGCACCTCTTTGACTTTCCCTGGAGGTTTTTAAGAAGAGTTAAGGGCAGCCATTTGTCTGAAATGCTGTAGGGCAGGGGTCTCCAACCGTGGCAACTTTAAGCCTGGAGGACTTCAACTCCCAGAATTCCCAGCAAGACTCTCTTTAGAGCAGGGGTCTCCAACGTTGCCTACTTTAAGCCTGGAGGACTTCAACTCCCAGAATTCCCCAGCCAGCACGTTGGCTACTTTAAGCCTGGAGGAGCAAAGCTGGCTGGGGAATTCTGGGAGTTGAAGTCCTCCAGGCTTAAAGTTGCCAA